CTTTTTGTTTCCTCCTAAATTATTGAAGTTAACTGTAGATAAGAGAACTAAATCACCAATCTTGAAGTTGGGCTCTTGATGACTTTTATCCCACCTGGCTTTACTATACTCTGCTGCTTGTTGAACACATTCTGCAGCATGTGCGTTGGCTGCATCTAGCATTTTCTTAAAATCCAGGGCTGTGGGATGCACATGGGGGAGATGTGAGTTAAGAGTGTCCTTAGGCATCCTGGGTATCCACCCTCTTTCCAAGACATAAGGTACTTCCTTGGCCGAAGAGTGCTTGCTGCTATTATAGGCTATCTCCAGGGCTGGGAGTAGGCTGACCCAATCATGAGTATAACCGTTGGTGTTCTTGTAATCTAATCCGAAGGCAAAAAACCTTCTGAGCATATCTTCTAATGTTTGGATCATTCTTTCTGCTAATCCATCGGTCTGTGGATGATATGCCGTGGAGAAGGCCAACTTGGTACCTAGCATGTCATGTAAATTCCTCCAAAATTCAGAGGTGAATTTAGGGTCTCTGTCACTAATAATGATCTTGGGAATACCCACATCTGCCATAATACGGTTCCAAAACAGCAGGGCTACTTCCATTGCAGTATCATCCTTGTGATTAGGGATAAATCTAGCTCTCTTGGAAAATCTGTCTACTACCACTAGTACAGAGTTATATGAATAAGCTCCTCCAGGGGGTAGACCCGTAACAAAGTCCATATTAATGACTTCCCACCTGGACTTAGGTTCAGCTATCTTCTGAAGAAGTCCAAATCTTTTCCCTGTCTGCTTATTTCCTGTCTGACAGGGGTTACAGGAGGATACGTACTCGTGTACCTGTTCTTTAAAGTCTTTCCACCAGGCAGTCTGACTAATCCTTTCAATAGTCCTTTCTTCTGAAAAATGTCCTGCACTGGCACTGTCATGACACTCCTGCAAGATAGAGCTGATTTGGGCTTCATCACATAGTACCAATACACTAGAGTGAGTATTCCTATAATACAATAACCCATCCAACAATGTAAATTTTCCTTTGTGATATGGTTTGGATATCCAAAGGGGTAAACTGGGCTATAAGTTCATGAGGAGCATTTTTATTGGAAAGGATGTCTACTAGCTTCAGAGTTCACGTACGCTAGCATAACTATCTCTAACTGCTGAGTAGTACGGCTTCGTCGAGATCACAGGCATGAATACCAGGAATAGGAAAGTCACTAATTTCCTCCGGATCCCATGCAGGGTTCTCTGGCGTATTAGGTAGAGCCCACCTACTCAAGGCGTCTGCATTCTGGTGTTTAGCTCCTGGTTTGTGCCTAATGGTCATGAGGTTTCTGTACTGTTGAATAGCAATCTGCCACCTAAGCATGTGTCTATTGGGCGTCTTCATGTTCATCAGGGTTGTGACTGCTGTACAATCAGTAATGACTAAAACTTTACAACCTTCCAAGTAGTAATGTAGATTCTCTAAAGCCCAGATTAGAGCTAAACATTCCATTTGGCTTGCACCATATCTTTTCTCGGAGTCTTTGACTTGTCTCGAGATGAACAATATAGGCTTTTCAATGGGAATGCCTTGTTCCTCAAAAGTCTGATGCAATGCAGCCCCCAATCCATCCATACAGGCGTCAATGTACAGAATAAAAGGTTTAGAGTAATCTGGTTGGGCCAATACTGGTGCGGAGGTAACAAGCTCTCTGAGTTTCTCATAATCCTTAACTCTATGATACGTCATTTCAAAGATGACCTTAGGAGTACATATCTCATACAAACTTTTGGTGATAATGGCAAATTGAGGAATGTGCTGTCTGTAATAATTACAGAATCCTAGGAATGATTGCATTTCTGTGACATTCTGAGGCATTGGTTTCTGCAACACTGCGGCCACTCTATTCTGATCTACGGCTAGGGTTAGTCCAGAGACAATATGGCCTAGTGCTTTCAGTTCACTATATCCAAAGCTGCACTTCTTTATTGACATTTTTAGTCCAGCCGTAGCAGCAGTTTTAAGCACTGTAGCAATCTTATCAATATGTGTTTCCCAATTTTCAGAGTAGATGATAATATCATCAATGTACACCATCATCCAGTTTTGCCTGATGAAGGAACCAAAGATACTATCCATCATCCTTTGGAAGTGTGAAGGCGCATTCTTAATCCCAAAGGGCATCCTAAGGTATTCATAGACACCTAAGTGGCAAATGATTCTCATAAACTTCCTACTACTAGGTTCAATGGGTATTTGATGAAATCCTTTGAGCACATCCATGGTTGTAATGTATTTAGCTTTGGAGAGATTGTGCAAAGCGTGGTCTATCCTAGGTATAGGATAATAATCTGCTTTAGTATGGTTATTGAGAGCTCTAAAGTCTCCTACCATCCTTGACTTATTATTATGCCAGGCTATAATGACGGGAGTTGTGATTTCTACCTGTTCATTATGGCCTACTTTTCGTAATACCTTTAAGTCAAGAAGCTCTTTGATATGAGTTTCCAGCGCTTCCCTGGACTTGGGGCTAGAGGGGTAGGGTGCTTTACGGAGCATTGGTGGATAGGGTGTCCCACATGTGAGTTCTATTTTAATTTCATGGCCCTGGACATTTCCAATAGGGTGCGCAGTAGTACAGAAAGCCTCTTGATGATTGTAGCAAACTTTCAACACATCCAGCTTTTGATCTTCAGTCAAGGTATCACTCACAGAGGACTGCGACAGATAATCTGTGTTGAAGGTATTAAGCTCTTTGAAGTCTCTTCTTTCTTCTGCAGTTGGAGTATCAGGGAGGGAAATATGTACATTACAAATCTGATACTTCTTTTTCCAGTCACCACCTATAGTATAAAATCGGTTCTTACTCTGAAAGATATCAATACCATAAAGGCAAAAGGTATCATTTCCCAATATTAAGTAGTCACATAAGGCATCACTGAGTACCACAAATTCTATGGTGAGGCGCAAGGATCCTTTAGAATGAGGGAAGACAAGGGGCATAATCACTACTCCTAAAGTCTTCATAGCTGAGTTGCAACTACTAAATTTGGCTCTTGGTGTAGGAAGCAAATTATCCTTCCACGAGGGGTATACTTGGTCTAAGAATTTACTACTGGTACAAGAACAAAAGGCTCCAATATCTAGGAGTGCTTTCACTGGTTTGTCCTCAAATAGTACCGTGGTGTAACAAGTTTTTCCGGTTGTAGCTCATGCCTGCTTCGGGTTTATTGGATAACATTTTAGCATCAGATACATGTCCTACTTCCAAAGAAGTATTCCAGGATTGAGGGAGATTGGATTCTCCTTGAATGGAATTAATGAGGCACTCATCACCAATATCTGCTTGGATGACATAACATCCTAAATGGTGGTTTTCTGTGTCCTTTTCTTCTAGAGAGGGGTCATCCGGCTCAATACCAATAACTTCAAAGTGGGATTGATTGTCATCTTCTTCTTCAGCATAAATATGATTGATCTTCTTCCTGGGGTTGGGGCAGTCCGCTTTTCTGTGCCCTTTTTCTCCACAATTATAACATTCTGCTGTTACTGGTCTCTTAACAGGGTTGTCAACTCTGGCTGAAATATCTGAGGTTTTGCTAACTGTACCACTAGTCTTCTCATCTTTGGGATTAGTAGGGGGAACTCTGTTTCTTCTATTCAAGCCCATCATTTCGACAACTTCCTCCATAACTTCAATGAGTTCAGATATATCTACATCCATGTCTTTCAGTCTGCATCTGACGGCATGTTCCATGCTTCCTCTACATTGACTGAGAAGTTTGTCATTAACCAATATTCTAGTTTGGTTTTTATAAATACAATCTATCCTCTTTTTCTGAGCAATACACCAATCATGAGGATCATCCTTTGCGGGGTCAAAGTAATCTGACTCAAATAGTCTACGCATCTTTTTCTCCCAAAGTCTAGTACCATATTTGGCTTTGATTAATTCCTTCCAGGTGTCCCAAGATTGTACTCCAAGGGATTCAGTTTTCTCAATAAACCACTGATTAGCACCTCCTTTAAATAATCCTGGAAGTCTAGAAGTAACTAACTCATCTGGGGCATTGTAAGTCCTCAATATATGGTCTAAGTATTTGATAAAACTGATATGATCATAATCTCCTTTTCCTTCAAAGGTGGGCCAGTCTTTCAAGGGTGGTACCATTTTATTAAGAATGTTTATGTCAAGGGTATTTACTATTATTAAGGACAGTGCGGGGCCTAGCGCTTGTTCCTTCATTGACTCCCCTAGAATTGTCAGGGATTTTGGCACTAGATTCTTCTTTATAATTATTAATTTGGTAATTACCTGGGAACCTGTCACTAGGTTCTCTGTTACTGCCAGCAAACATTTGGTTATTGGGGAGAGGATTCATCTTCTGTAGTGGAGACCCTTTCTCTTCATTGGTAAATGGATTGTTAAAATGAGGGGTTCTATACTGTTGCTCATTCTCAATGTTAAGATAAGGGTTGTTAAACTTGGGTGAAACATAGTTTAATCTAGGTGAAGTTAAATTATTAATTTTCATGTCCCTCAGTTCAGTCCTTACAGATTCTAGTTGAGTTACAAAAGAGCTGTTGACACCTGTTATGGTATTGTTAAGCATGTTGTTTTGTTGTATTAAAAGTTCTTTTATCTCATCAAATTGTTTCTTGTTTCTTACTTGTTGTTCAATAATAACTTCTTCTTTCACGGTAGAGATTACATTATCCCCACTAGAAAGTGTAACAGCTTCAATCTTATCTAGTCTTTCTTTGACCGTGATTATTTCCTTATAGTTGTCACTGATCATGCTGATAATGGCATCTAACTTATTATCCATCTCATCGTTACTCTCTTTGACCGGAATTCTTTTTGTTTGTAAAGATAGTTTTAAGGCGGTCTCAATGGAAGTTCTCAGGCTCTCATGTGAATTCTTTATTAGTTTAAGGAGTGACTTATGATTAAATTCAATGTTGTAGTTAATAGTATGGAGGTTCTCCTGTACATTAAGAGTAGCAGAAAAAATAGAGGCTAAGGAGGAAGTGCCTTGCGGGAGCGTTGTCTGTACGCTGCTCTCCAGGCCTGACCTATCTCGAAGACGTCCGCCCAGACCCGAGGATCGTCGTATTGCTGGGCTTTCCTCGAAGTTGAGCTCTTCTTCTTGCCCTCTTTCTTTGGCGGTGGAGGGAATAATTCTCGTTTGGCGTCCCAGGGGTTCCATCCCTTGACGTATCCTTCGAGCTCTTCTTTGGTTATCAGTTTCTGTAGCGCTTTCTGGGATTCTTGCGCTTGGTGAATAATAGTTTTGAGCTCGTTGGTTACTCCCGACGCTTTCTCTTTCTCAAAGTTCTTCCAGATGGCTACGTGCTCCTTGACTAAGAAGCGGATCTTCTCTTTCTTGGTCATGGTTATTATTTCTGGGCTGTCTTGGCGTTTCTGGGTGACCTCCGAGGATGTCAACGGATCGTCTAGATCCATGGCTTCGTCTCTCTTCTTGCTCTGAGAGTCGGGGTTGTTCAGGTGGTCGGTCGTGCTCAGAGAGTCGGCCGTCCCTGCCGTCTTCTTCTTTATCTGGAGCTGGCTGAGTTGAAGTACTCGTTCTTCGAGAGGTAGCTCGACTCTTTGACCTAGTAGGAGCTGGGAGTGGTCCGGTGAGGTCCGGTCGCGAGGATCTGGTGGACATAATCACAGTAGAGTTAGGTATTGTTGGTTATTAGTCGTTTTATAAAATGAGGACGAATAGCTACTAACAATTAAGTAAGTCTTCTAATTCGTCGACCGAGGTGTCTTCTGGGTTACCGATCGAATCAATCGCTGCCGTATTGGTGGTCGTATGGACGGTGGTAGACAAGTTGTTGCTAGCAGAAGCGTTGGTTGAGGGGTTCACTAGTACAAGTAGGGATGTTATAGATTAGTTTGCAGGTTAATTGGAGCAGCGGATGATGGTCTTAATGCTGATGCTTACTCCTTATGAGTCTTTGTTGTTTCTTGTATTCTTTATAGTCCCGAATAGTTTCGTTGATAAGTAGTTTAGCGGCAAAAGTATTGTCTTCTTCGCGATGTATTCGTGTAATAGCTATCTGTAGTCTTTCTTCTTGGCTGAGTAATTCCCAGTCGGTAGGCTTATAATTACGGATGAATTCTTCGTTTCTAAGTCTAAAGGAGGCTGGAAAAAAAAAGCGAGCACAAAGTTCGAGTAGCGATCCACCTCAATCTCAAATTGCATCTACGCCGGCACCCTCGGACCCTATCTCTGACTTTGAAGGCACTGGAACCGAGCCATCAGTACTAGAGCAACCTATTGGAAAAAAAAGCTAAGACGATTAATCAACTTGCCGCGCAAGATCAATCCTGGAAGCAAGATGTCGCATGCGCTCACAAAGAAATCGCCTCCAAATCGAAGCAACTAAATGACATATTCAACCATGATTCGCAAGCCATCGATCGCATGTTGCAGAATGGAACAACTGCTTCGGAGCTCGCAATCATGACCACTGATCTTAATGGTCTTGATGACGAGCAAAAGGAATATTTCAAGCTTAAGCGAGCTGCAATTCTCCAATCTCTACAGGCCCAAGGAAATGCAAGCACCAACTAGCCCTCCCTGGATCTACACCAACTAGCCCTCCCTGGATCTATTACCTGATCGCTGCATGTCAGGCTCGGTGATGCCAAGGCAATAGGCCTTCTAGCTACACCGGCTGAGGGGATTGGTTTGGTAAATTTGGTAAGTAGAGAGGAAACCGAGGGGCCCAGGTTATGGGGGTTTTTACGGTGCCCTCGGGGATACGAGCCTAGTCTAATATGTCGACTGGTGGCGGCTACGGCGGGGTCTCGGCAAAAGGCGAGGGTATTCGGTCCGCGTATCGGAAGATAGAGTGGTAGTGTAGAGCTTAAGGAAGTGTACTTACTTGAGTCGAAGTATCCTCAAGTACGAAGCTGTTCGAAGCTCAGACGGCGGTGGAATCCAAAGGTAACGAGGTCCTGTTTAGCTAGGCGCTGAGAGTATGCGTGTGTCAGGGTTGTCGTTCGAGAGTTGGGTGTTCCTAGTTTGAGGTTGATGAAGGAGAGCGAGAGGTTTAGTGTGGCGGTTTGAGAGTTCGTTTTACGAGGTAGTTCTGAAAAATAGAAGTGGAAGCTTGATGCCCAATGACTACTGACCTGAGCTGGCTTTTATCCTCATCGGGGCCGGTACCAATAGCGTATGGGAAATCGATTCTTGTTTAGGTTCCGTCCGGCCTGTTTCCTTGGTCATGAGGTCATGACTAGCGATGTCGACCTCAGCCATTATTCTGAAGTGTGTGACATCTTGAGAAACAAGGTGTCACAGCTCAAGGAATAGCGCTGGAGATGACGCAGGTGTGAAGTGTACTACTGCTGCGGACTCTCTGACGTGCATTCCTAGTGTTTTGGTCATTGATAATTATTCATTCTTTTACTCAATTATGGATCATGTAAATTTAATTAATTATTATTTTTAAAAGTTAAAACTAAATTTCTAAAAATTCAGACAGATTGTCCTGCTTTCTCAGTGACAAGCTGACACTGCAGGCCCGATGATCTCTTCTCTGATCGCTGCGGCCCCAATTGACTATTTTGTTTCCCTCTTTTTTGTCCTTACTATTTCATTTCAAATCACTATCACTCCGATCCAGTGTATTTTTTTTGTTTCTTTGTTTATCATTTTTTCAATGATTTTGTTTGTTTTCTCTTCATCTCTTGCAATCAAGTCCCAAAGAGAATATGAATTCCAATTTGACAAAAACCAACAATTGAAACATGAATAAATAAATAAATACAATCAAACCAAAAAGAAAACAGCATGTTGAAACTTGCTGATGGAAAAGTTTCAATCATCTTGTTGACCTTTGACCTCCCATTGATGCTTTATGAGGTCATTGCGCAATTGAAAATGAACAGCTGAGTATCTCATTGATTGAAAATTGTCAATGAAATTGGAGAAGGAGATTGAAGTACCGTCTCGCAAGACCTCAACCGGCGTGATGATGGCACCCGGGGGGGGGGGGGGGGGAATCGTCATAGTAATATTCTAAGAATGTATCTTGCTCATCCTCCACAATCATGTTGTGGAGGATGATGCAAGTTTTCATGATTTTGTTGAGGTTATGATGCTTCCATCCTTGGGCCGGATGCGAGACGATTGCAAATCTTGCTTGAAGGACACCAAATGCACACTCCACGTCTTTTCGTCGGGCTTCTTGCAGCTTCACAAAGTGTTTCTGCTTGGCTCCCCTCGGCTGCGACATGGTCTTCACAAACGTTGACCAGTCTGGATAGATTCCATCCACAAGGTAGTACCCTTGTTTGTATTTGTGACCATTTATTGTGTATTCGCATGTGGGTGCTTGACCATGTAAGAGATTATGAAACAGCGGCGAGGTATCAAGTATGTTGATGTCATTGTGCGATCCTGGCATGCCAGATCCACAAATCTTGGGATGACACCGCTTCGAGAATGATTGTAGGTGTCTAAGAAAAAAAAACAGTTAGTTAGGAAATTGAGAGCATCAAGAAGGTAACAAGAATGAATGTACCTTTTCTTTTCCTTGAAATTGTCCTGCCCAACCCAATGGGCAGTTCTTCCACTGCCAGTGCATGCAATCGAGTGACCCAAGCATGCCTGGGAATCCTCTTTTTGCACCCTCAGATAGGAGTCGCTCCAAGTTGGCCAGAGTTGGGTGTTGAAGATATTCTGATGAGTACATGGCTACAATAGCGTTGCAAAATCGATCCATGCATTCTAGGGATGTTGACTCAGACAGCTGAAGGTACTCGTCGTTGCAGTCGGCAGCGGCACCATACGCAAGCATTCGAAGAGCGGCAGTTATCTTAACAAGGGGCCTCACACCTAATTTCCCCAATGCGTCGGCTCTGAGAGTAAAATATTCGTCAAAATTCTCAACCGCCTCGGCAATTCTCAAGAAAAGGGGCTGTCCCATTCAAAACCGGCGCCGAAAAAGTTGTTCATCATAGAGTGGTGGTGCACCAAAATAATGCTCCATGAGCTGCTGGTAGCTGCCTTCAAAGTTGTGGGGGCGGTTGGGCTGTTTGCCTGGCTTTGAGCCACCATGTGGAGGAAAGAGTACATCATTGGTGTCTTCTTCTTTGTCGAGTAGCAATGGTGTAACTTGAAGGGCCGTAGTGATGATTGTTCTGAACCTTGAAAGTAGCTGCCTTCGTCAGATCAATATGCGCAGGAACGCTGGGTCGACCTCCATGCCGACGGTGTTGGAAGGAAGATAGCCAAGGTTGGTTTTGGTGTGGTGTGCCAATATGTAGTCAAATGACATAGGGGGGGGGATCAGGGGCTACCCTTTCACAGCCCCAAGGTGCTACTTTAAGACTCTGCGGTACAAACAAAAATTTAGGCAAGGAGCTAAAATATGCACCGCAGTCGCGCGAGGTCAAATTTTAGGGAAATTTAGGGACTGAGGTAGTCCCCTCCGGTGGAGATGCTCTAAGATACACAGATTCACATTTAAAACATGGGAGGTTGGGTAGATGCAGCCAAACTGTTCACTCATCCAGAATTGCCAAGTAGTGGGTTCATGTTTCCATACCTAGCCCACAAGCTACAGTGCTCGAAGTCTGACACATGAGTTTGGCGCTGGCCTCTTCACACCAATTCCTGCATCTCTTTTTTAGTGCTGCAGTTGTGTAGCTTCAAGTTGAACAACTTTCACAAATTTTTACCAAAAACAGCTTTACAGCTATTTCGGAAAGGGTTGTCCAGTTGTCTCTCAAATTTTTTTTTTTTTTTTTGAAAATTTTTAAATTTTTCTTTGTACTGAACTACAGCCGAGGAGGTACAGCTGTCATCGATAGTTCAGTTCTGACAGGTCCAGTTCAGTAAAAAAATAAAAAATAAAAAAAATAAAAAAATAAAAAAGATTTCGCGAGTCCAAGTGGACAACCCTTTCCGAAATAGCTGTATGTGCCACTTGTTGGTATTCCTTTCAGGCAATTGATTTCTTGTCAGCAAACTGGTCGGCCCCACCATGGGCAAATATGTAGCTCAACTTGAGCAACGTCCATTATTCTTAGGTTGGCAAGAGTGACTCTGATTCATGTGTTCAAAGAACTGATGTGGGGCCCGGTTCTCAGATGCACTCTCACCATGTATGTAGATCATTCTTCACGGCTCCGCAAAGTGACCCCTCACATTCTGTAGGCAAGCAACGGTCATGACAACCAAGCAAGTAGTAAAGCTTAGGCACACATGTAGGACTGGGTAGTACAGATATGACAAGACCTGTAGGCTTAAGTAAATCACCCGGATGCCTTCCCACTCCCATCGGCGCAGACGTCTCTACCGAAGCACGAGTAGTGGGTAGGTACTTAAGATGGTGGGGGGGATCTGATGTTTCGCTACTGCTCCCTCAGCGATGCACAGCTGAAGTTGCATCGACAATTCGTGCTTGCCTGAGAGACCTTCCAGATGTAGGACGAAGTAGAAGCACACGAGATAAGCTACAGGTTGGTGACCGTTTTGATATGCAGCAATTGACCAAGACAAGAGGAGAGCGATGTTGAGTCAAGGACGTTGCAAGAGAGCATTAGATCAGAAGACCGAGAAAACAATCATTGTAGTCACAAGGGCCGTAAGGATTTCAACTTTCATCCGAGCTTCCGGCAGATGAGGCAGAAGGGTACCCGAGGCCAGAAGGCACTGATCAATTGTTTACATGTTGATGCATTTAATTTTTTCTTCGGAATGAGCAACCTAAGATGAAGTCATCAAGAGTTTGGTCAACGGCTGCTGTGTATGGGGCTTCGAGGGCTGAGAGGGAGCTAAGTACCTTCGGTAAGACGAGCTTTTCCTCCGGTAGGCTGGCAAAGAACAGTGGCACAAGATCCGCAAAGAACGACGGTTTGGGCGTGTGAGAAGACTGTGGTAATGTTGAAACAACCTGTGAAAAAGTTCGAGGAAAATGATGAGAATCAAGTAACAAGACCAATGAAATGAGTTTTAGATACCCACCAGGACACTTGACATCCATGAAGTAAGAGTTAGGGCTTTGCACCAGTCTTTTCAACTTGTGCTTGCGTCGTTCTTGTTCGGCCGAAGGGTTAAGGAGATCTACCGCGAGCGTCTGTGGGGGAGGATCAGTTGGATCATCAGCGGCAGGTTCATACTTCGATTTGGCAGTGCGGTTGCGAGGACTGGTGGAGGGATGGGAGGAGAAACGGCGAGGGGCTGACCATTTTGAAGAGTTCGGTGAGGGAATCGGGCAGATCGATGGCACGAGGCGGAGGTGACCGTTGGTAGGGCCGTGCGGAATCACACCCCATCGCTCTGTGTCAAACCTATTGCGCAGTATCCTCAGGAGCGCAGCCATACATACGACCCCGGGTAAACGGGTTTTTAAACCGGTGTGCGGATCCGGCGCACAAGTGTCACAGATCGCATCACACAGCAAGCTGTCAAAATGAAAGAGGGGCGAGCATGCTGTACCCCCCGCTCCAGCCGGTGACCCGAGCCTCCGGAGTCCGAACCCTCGGGAAGCGGGGCACTTAGCCAAGCTCGACAGTCGACTCCAGCAGTCCGGGTGATCTGATTACCTCACAACTTCAATCAAACCTCGTCGGGCCGATTCGGTACACCTTCTTGGTATTGCCAGACTGCCTAATCTCAACCTGAGAAGATCATGAAAGAAACTTATCCACATAACGGGGCTCCAAATCCGCTGACGGGTCCTCAAGATGGGTGAGCTCACATGACCAAGGAACGAGACACGTCTCCTACGCATGGATTACAGAAAAATCGCCCATTGGAAAAACGCTTGGCCGAGCGACCGGATAAGACTGATCTTGCCGAGAAAAACGTTCTCATAACAGTGTATGTACGATTCTTATAGTCTTCTCTTGAAGACTTTCTTTTCGGAATTTTTCGCGAGTATGATCTATCAGTTGACATAACCCTATCTTTTTAAATGAAAAGCCAATCTCTCGATCAACTTGTTCTCTTATTATTTCTGCCCTTCCAAAGCTCATGCTTTCAGTCATTTGGGAAATATTAGGCCAAACCAGCAGAATTATCAAAAAATCAGTTGGAAGATAAGCTTAATGCAGTCCTCGCGCATCGCCCCGAGGCTGAAAAACTAGTCCAAGAAGGCATCTTGACCAGTCTGCTGACTTCCGTAGATTGCAGATTCCTTGTAGTAATTTTACTTAACCCGTTTGCTTTTGGTTTGTAGAAGAAGAGGCAGCAAAGCCCATTCAACACCTACAAGGCACAGACCACAAAAATTAACCAATTTGTCGGTTTTTGCAATGGCATGGGTTCAAGTCTTCAGCCTCACCGATCTGCCGTTTGTTCGATCTATTGAGGCTCCAAGTTCAAGCAAGTATTTGCGGATCAATTTCTTCATCTCTACATCGGCAGTCCTATTCCATAAACATTTCTCTTCATACGATTATTGTTGTTCTACTTTCAAAGAAGTCGTTGACCTCAAGCTTTCTTTCCCCAAAAATTGTAGTATCACCATCTCCCTGCATGAATAACTGAAATGAATGTCTGATCGATCTGAGATTCAAATCCACATTGCCGGGCCTTTTTTCGTAATAAGCTAGCAATCCTCCACCCAAACGAACACATCTCATCCGCTCAAGGAGCTGTCTTACCCTTGAATGGCCATCACCATGATTGACAAGCTTCTATTTTGCTTTCCTCTGAGACCGAATTTCTGCCTGAACATTTCAACCAAAGACACTATGGCCGAGTGGTTAAGGCGCTTCCCTGCTATCTTGTAAGGAAGTGGACATTGTCCGCGCGAGTTCGAATCTCGTTGGTGTCGAATCTCTTTTGTTGTTTTGATCTGTGCTTGATCAACCAGATGATTTCATTCATGAAACACATCTGTATGTTAAATATTGTTTGTTTTTGAAATGAAATCTGTTTCAGACACCCTTAGTTTGTCCTTTTTGAAGTTAGAATTTGATAAACATGCAGCACAAAACAAGATTATTCCCACAATACGTGTAGTTTGGATAACCCCAAAACTCCACATCAGAACAGATTAGAGATCATTTGTTGGTACCTCTTGCACCGCTTGGTGGGTACTGCCTGCACCTGCCCTGCATGCGCCAAGTTGATGACTATCTACACTTTGTCACACATATGTGACAACAAGACTGAGCCAGGGTTCTCTCCAAACTGCTCTCTTTTGGGTCAGATCTAGAGGTGTTGGGCCTCGGCTTGATATGATAGCATTATTGTATATTGTATTGGTAATAATATTCTCAGAATAATATGAATCAACTATTATATATGTAAAGCATAAATGTTTCTTTTTGAGAATCAAAACAACCACAAAAGAGATTGTTTTTTACTGAAGACATGTGTTTATAAGATGAAAAAGAACTTGAAACTGTCTAATGTGTTTTTTTTTTCTATGAACCCACAACAATAGTTCATATTTTTCTAGCACAATGGAAAAGTAGATGTCTAATCTGTACAATTGGGTCCTTCACATTCATGCTTTGGTACACAGCTGGTCATTCCATGTCCAATATTTATGACTTTTTCACTAGATTCACAGGGTGATCTTACAGGACCTACAGGCCTTCTCTTTCTCCTTGGTGATCTGGGTTGAATGGTTTTTGATAATTGAGATTGAAGATTTGAGGAGGCTTGACTGGGATCATCTGTGATTTCCCTCTTGATCAATTGATTATCTTTTGATTTTATAATGTATCCTTCACATAAAGTTGGACCCATCATGATCATACAGAACATCAATAAAATTGATCCAGAAAGTAGCCATTGTTTGCCTTGGCCAGTGGAAATTTTTCCTCCTGGAATTTGAACCATTTTTGTTGTTTTGGTAGTTGAAGGCTGTTGTTTCTATATCTTCAAGATGAATCTAAATTTCATGATCAATTCAACATTGTTAGTTCAAGAAATAACTTTATGTTCAAAACTGCTTGAAATTGGAAACAAAAAAAAACAAACAAACCTGATTTGAGTAACTCTCTTGAAATCCAAGAAAAAAATCCACTTGAGAGCCCTATGACCTGATGTTAGATTCTGATGAGCCACACAGCAGAGGAACTCACACCTGGTGAGTATAAAGAGGTATTTTGTGAGAGATAGTAACAAGAGAGCTATTGCAGGCTATCAAATCAACCAATGTAAATTTCTCAAATCGAGCGACTTGTGTAAGACAAATCAAATTTGTTGTGATATCGGAGCTGTAAGAGGCACACTGTGAACGATGATGAGAACAGAGTAGAGTTAAGATCGTATAGAGCTGAGAGGTATGTACTTTGCGAATTCAGCGCGAAACGATTAGCATTTATAGCAAAATAAACTTTGCAGGAAACCCGTAGAAGAATTGCCGATTATCGCAAGAAATATTTATGTTGCCAGCTGACTCTATCAGCGGCCTGACCACGACCCCTAAGATACAAACTACATAATTATGGATTGGCAACCAAGAGATGAAAAACTAATTAATTCTCACCAACGTATTCATCACAGCTTGGCTCCCATTCCAAAGAAAAAATTCTTCCTCCAACAAGGCTGTTGTTATCTATGGATGTCGATGAGCTTCTGAGAATCTCAAGTGTTGCTGAGGTTACTTGGTCAAGCAGTATAGGTTACAGCAAGCTGTTAATCCCGACATACATAAAAGATGAATAGCTCTCAAGCAGGTCCAACTTACTAAATTATAAACCAGTTAGCCAGTCCTTGATGTCTACCTTCTCCGATGGAAGCAGTGTTGTCGATTAACTACTGGTACACACTGCCCGGGTTACCATATTCATTTGCTATTCGGTTCCCTGTAGTCTGGGGGCGGTTTCATATTTCCTGAATCGCAAGATGAAGGACATACAAAAATCTTCAATGACTGTACAGAAAACACTAGCGCACATTATGGCCCCTGCAACCTTGTTTGAATGTGCAAATTTTGGCATTTTAGGTGTCCTATCGCCCCCGGGAAACTCTGAGGGCAGGTATGTCCGAGAAAGTTCAAGGGGGGGGGGGGTTCATTTTGCGCACCAGCAGTTGAATCAAACTATTGTACATAGCAACTTTGCACACACAAGAATTCCATAACATAAACTCACCAAAATTTGGGGGTGGACATCATCCAGCACTTCAGAGGTTTCCTGATTCCAGTAAGTGATTAACATACCATTCAGCACAAAGAGAGTGAGAATTATACTCAAGGCCAATAAACAAGGACTTCACTGAAAAATTCTCAACTAGATAGATGGATGTGAGGGATCATGTTGGATCTGGTAATATTTTTAATTTCTCCCTGGGGAACCTAAATACTTCAATTCTTTTCTTGAATCATTTAGAACTTTGTCAAATGTACAGCATGAGTAATAAAAGAGGGTCTGTATAGAGGCTTAGAAGATAGATAATTATCCCATCTCTGTAGACTGTATGTAGTAGAAACACAGAGGTCAATCTAGTATGTGCTTTATGTTTTCAAGTTTCAGCATATTCAAATTGATTGCTTGTTTCTTTCTAAAAACAAGACACCTACATGAATTCACATGCTCTAAACATGATTAGTGCATCTATTCTTAGTCTAGACTGAATGAGCTCTGGAATATTGAATTTAAAATGAAAACAAACATGAAATTTCAGAAGATAAATGGATGCATGAATTAATACCTGGAGGGGTAGTGATCTTCCTCATGGGAAGCCAGACCTTCAAGCACAAGTAGAAATAGAGCTGTATCTAACATGTTGGCTACCTGCTTGAGTGACGTCTCTGTTCTAGAAGCCCTAATTAGTAATATCAATGCTTTTTTTATTGAAAGAATTTTCAAGCTTTCTGACTTTCTTTTTGTCATATGTAAAAGATAAACTAAAATATCTTTAGCATTTTTTTTTGAGAATCATCAAAAAGTGTGTCTTGTGATTTCTCTTTTTTTTTGAAAAAAAAACATGGATGGATAAGATCCAAAGAATATCAAGAATTGGAAAGTGTTTGTTGTGTTTAATTTTCTATGATCATACAGCAATAGTTTCATAGTTTTCTAGCCGAATGAATTGAAATTAATTAAAAACAACAACAAGACGCTGAGGTATAAGCTAAAATGAATTATATGAGCCAAGGGAAAGCAGATATCTAATTGGGACAATTGGGGCCATTGCAATCATGCTTTGGTCTACAAGAGGTCCTTCCGTTTCCGATACTTATGACTCGTTCACTAGATTCACAGGGCGATCTTACACGGCCTTTGAGTGGTGATCTGCGGTGAATGATGTTTGTTATTTTGAATGATGGAAATTGAAGATGCGAGGAGGCTTGGCTGGGATCGTCTGCAACATCCCTCTTCATCGGATGATTCTCTGTGGATCTGAGGACATGTGCTTCACATGTGCTTATAGGACCCATCATGAGCACATAGAACTGCATGATCAAAATTGAGCCCGAAAGAAGCCTTCGTTGGCCTTGGCCAGTCCAAATCATCTTGCCGTCTGGAATTGGAACCATTGTCTGTTTAATTCGTAGTCGAACCTTTCTATCACTCAAAGTTGGATGTCGATTTTTCCATGATCATTAAGTCAAGTTTATCGGTTGAAGAGTTAATTAGTTTATGCTTGAAAACCACTTGAAATTGAGAAAAAAAAAAAGAAGCCATTAAAACAAACTAATTACTTTAAGGAAATCTATTGAAGTGCGAGAAAAAAATTGGCTTGAGAGCCCTATGACCTGATAGTAGATTCTGATGCGCCGCACAGCGGAGGACTTCACTCCTGGTGAGTCTGAAGAGGTATCTTGTGAGAGAGAGAGAGAGAGAGAGAGAGTGGGAAGAGAGCTCTTGCAGGCTCTGAAATCCACTGATGTAGATATCTCAAATCGAGTACGTTATCTAAGACAAATCGACTTTGTTGGGATATCGGAGCTTTAAGAGGCTGGCAGTGAACGATGATGAGAACGGAGTAGAAAGAAGACCGTAGAGAGAGAGAGAGAGAGAGAGGTGCTGGAGGAAACTCGTAGAAGACATTTGTAGTGCGTATCGCAAGAAATATGTTGCCAGCTGGATCTATGATCAGCGGCCAAGCGATTTACTCCGACCTCCAAGATACAAAGCACCAACAGCTGAAAAAAAAAAAACAATGAACGCTTGCTGGCCAACAGAAACATTGTAACAGCTGAGATTGAACAGGAAAGGTAATTCCAACGGGGCTGTGATGTGGTTAAATTACTGAGGTGACTTTGTTCAACAGTACAAATAGATTACGATATAGCAAGTTGCACCAATTGTTCGTTGTTTGTAATGCCGAATCATGACGACGCCTCATGTTTCAAGCTTGCGAACAACACAAGGCTCCTGGCAGCAAAGTTGAATAGCTCTCAAGTGAAGTAGGTCGAACTAAATCCTGGACCAGTGTATATTATTCAGCTATGTCTTCGAACCTTCGTTGATCGAAGTCGTGGGTTACCAAATCGTAATTGCTGCTTTGTTGCCTGGAAGCCGGATCCTTAATGTGAGTCAATATGGATTGGAAAGAAAGCCTTGGAATGCGATGCGATGCGTTTCTTTCTGAAAGATAACATTATCCGTAATCCGAGGAACCATTTCAAGAACTTTTTTTTTGTTTTTTTATTTTTGAGTCTTGCCAAACGGGCGGCAGCATGCGATTTACGCGGAAAGAAGACAAATACGTAATCCTCCCATCTCTGCAAAAGCATGTTTATTTTTTTTATTTTTTTTTGATTTTGACACCGTATATCTTTTTTATTAAAAGCAAAGGAGAAGGAAGATACACGAACTACTTGCCAAACAAACAAAGACCAACCACCAAAAAAAAGACCAACAGCAAAAAAAAGAAGAGAGAGAGAGAGAGAGATCAAGACAACGAGAAAGAATGGACCGGAGGAAAGAGAAGAGTATTAGAAGGCACGATTTTAACAGGCACATCGCAATGAAAGACTTGGACGTCAAAATTCGGGTTTTCTGAAGCGAGATGATTGGGTGCATGAGTTGAAGAATAAGAGGGAAGATCCGAAGATGGATGAGACTGAGGATTGGAGTTAAGGGGAAGAGAATTAGAGTTAAGGGCAAGAGAATCAAGAGTAAGTGAAGTCGAGTTAAGAGGAAGAGACTCATAGTTAAGAGCAGTAAGCGAACGATCGGAGTGATCAAGCTCAGGCGAAGAAGGAGAAG